AAATAAAAACTTAAAATAAAAAGTGCTAACAAAAAAAACTCCCAGAGCCACCAAAGAGAAGAACCCCGCCGCGCGAATTGTCATCCACACGGAATGAAGAAATAGAATTCAATGAGGAAAAAAAAATGACCTAAAGTAAAGTTTCCGTTTTGTTTTTCCCCAGTTCTTTTCGACCACCTCACGCTGGTTCTTGCGAGCCAGTTTTTCCCAATATGCCTTCGCTCAAAATATGTGTGCCTACGTTTTTTGCTGAGTGGTGTCCCAAAAGCACACCTCTCCTTTGGCTTGTGCGTTGTTCCCCCCTCTCTCCCTCCCCGTGCCCCTTCGGGCATCGTGCCTACTCCATCTCAATAATGATCTTTACATCAGTGGGGTTGCGCAAAGCGGCGCGCTCGTACGCCTTCACGCCGTCCCGCAGCTTGAATCTGCCCGTCACAAGCGGCTTCACATTCATCCTTCCCGAGCGAAGCAAACGAATGACCCGTGGGTACATGTTGCGGTAGCGGAAGATGGTCTGAAACGTAATTTCTTTAGCCTGCGCGGCCACCACGTCAAAGGTGACGGGGTCCACGGGCATGCCGGTCAAAACTGCCGTCGCGCCAGGAGCGGCGTGCTCGTAAATAAGTGGGTACGCCGCAGCGGCCCCACTGCATTCGAATACGCAGTCCACACCCTGTCCGTCCGTCAGTTGTTGCACCTTCTCCTTGACAGCATTGCCCTTCGAGAGAACCGGGTGCACGTGCTCGTACTGCGCCGCCGCCTTGAGGCGCCCCTCCACCACGTCGCAGATGATGACGTCTGAGCAGCCGGCGGCGAGGGCGGCGAGGGCCGTCACAATTCCAATGGTCCCTGAGCCAATGACCAGTGCCACATCGCCAGGCTTCACGCCTGCCTTCGTCGCCGAGTGCATGCCAACGGCGATGGGCTCGCAAAGAGCCCCCTCCTCGTAGCTCACGTTTTCGGGCAGCTTGAAGCACAGTATCGCGGGGTGAATGACAGTTGTGCTAAGGCAGCCGTGCACGGGCGGAGTGGCAAAGAAGGCAATGTCGGGGTCAAGGTTGTACAGGCCCGCGAGTGTCTGCGGCGACGTCATGTTGGGGATACCGGGCTCCATCGCGACGCGGTCTCCCACGCTGAGGTGCCTCACTTTACTTCCCACCGCCACAACGGTGCCGGCAGCCTCGTGGCCGAGAATCATGGGCTGCTTCACCACAAACGGTCCAATGTGGCCGTACTCGTAGTAGTGAACGTCGCTGCCGCAGATGCCGACGGTGTGCACCTTCACCCGCACGTCATTTTCGCCCAGCACGTCGTTCACCTCAATCTCGCGCAGCCGGATCTCCCCGGGCTTCTCGAGCACAAGCGACTTCATAAGCGTCATGGCGCAAGTTCAGAATTTGCTCTCCAAGTCTGTTTGTATGGCCCCCACCCCGTGCACCCACGTCCGGCGGAGTAAAACACACAACGACAAACAAAAAAAAAGGAGTCAAAGGAAAACAGAGCGCTGAACCCACGCAGTTGAAGGCTGCGCCAGAATCGCGACCACGCACACAAACAGAAGCACATCCCACCTCAGAGGGAGAGACACCGGAAAAAAGCGAGGAAGACTCAGCAGCAAAATAAAATAACACACACACAAATACAAAAAAAAAAAAACGAAGTCTCTATTTTCTCATCTGCAGCCCACTCGCCCCAAAAACGAACATACATACAAAAAAAACATAATAACACGCCGTTACGCGCCAATACTTCACTACTTTGATATTGCAGTGGAAGCCATTAGGCACAGCAGAGAAAGGGAAAGGCAGCACATCAATCACACCACACAGAGATAAAAAAATAAATAAAAAATAGAAATAAAAAAAATAAGAAGGAACATATTATTCATCTCACCCACAAGCTGCTCTCGTTCGCCTCATAGCAATCAGAGAAAAACAATTATTATTATTATTATGTTCGGTCACGAGTTGTTATTCCTAATATTGTTTGCCGTTCATATGCATTGAACTAACATCCTTTTTAATTTTTAGTTCACAACTCCGTGAGCAGCTTCGTCTGCCTCGACGACTCTGCGCTTTCACGTCCCGTTCGGAGGAGCTGCAGCTCCAATGGGACCATTTCGTCATTGTCCTTTTCTGACGGCGAGTAGGACCGAAGAAACATGGCAACAGCGACCAAGA